CACACCGGGCCTCAGGGCTGGCGGGGCTGCTGGCCACTGCCCTCTGGCCAGCAGGGGAGGGAGGGTGGAGGAACAGTGGGCTTGGGCCCCATGCAGCCCACCTGGCCTGGGGCTGTGCCTTCCACTGTGCGCCTGCTGCCCTCCGAGGCTGCACTCCACGAGGTGTCTGCTGTCCTGGGCCGATGCCTGGCTCTGGCTGAGAGCCGCGGGCCCCCAGCAGTGCCAGCCGGGACAGCCAGATCGGCTGGGCCCTGTGCCAGGCACCACGGCTGTCCGGAAGCTGTGGGCCTTGCACCCAAACATGAGCTGGTGCCGCCACCCGCCTGCCGTCACGGGTTCCGCTGAGCTCAGAGCAGCTGTGGCCGGGCAGGGTTGGGGCGGAAGTGCACCTAGAGGCACCGTCTTGGGGACAGCAGGGCCTGGCACCTGCACCCTGTGTGGGGGAGGCTGACATGGTGGGTCCTGGAAAGAGTAAGACAGGGAAGCCAGGGCTGGCAGGGAAGGCCCAAGGCATGGGCACCTGGGATCAGGAGTTCGCTGGGGGCCCTGTCTCAGGGGCTGGGCTGCAGACAGGACCGGCCTGCTCAGTGAGTTCAGACCCAGGCAGCAGCAGGGGAGTGTCCGGCTGAGTGTGTGCCCAGTGTGCCTGGGCGCACTGAGGCTCTACAGCCTTACTGAGCGTCTGGCCTCCCGTACTCCGTTGCCTGGCAGCCCTGAGGGTCCTCTTGGGGACCGACTTGACACGGATGCTCCAGGACACCAGAAGTGCAAGCTGAGTGTAGAAACACACCTCCGCGTTGCTCCGGGTCCGCAGCCCCAGGCTGAGGGGGCTGGCGCGTCCCGGGCCGGCGGGGCCTGTGCGGGCCGACAGCTGCTGACTGCCCTTCGCACTGCAGTACAAGCAGGTGGAGCAGTACATGTCCTTCCACAAGCTGCCCGCCGACTTCCGCCAGAAGATCCACGACTATTACGAGCACCGCTACCAAGGCAAGATGTTCGATGAGGACAGCATCCTGGGGGAGCTCAACAGCCCCCTACGGGAGGTGAGGCCAGGGGCAGAGGCCCTGCGGGGTGACAGACCTCCCGGGAGGCGCACCGTGGTGTCCGCTGGTCGTCATCGTCACCCTCATTCCCTGCAGGACAGAACCTGCAGACCGCGGGGGTTCTCACAGCGGGCTACACAGCCACTCCCCAGCCCACGGGACCCTGGGTGGTGGCCGTCGCTGGCCACCCCCGCCCTGGGCAGCCTGGTCAGGTGTCCACACAGCTCTTGAGCCACTCAAGACCATGCCAGCTGCCTGAGTGCTGCTGGCCCCTCTGCCCCAGCCTTCCACTTCCTCTTCAGCACCCGGGCATGGACCCGGGGCTGGCTCCCCTCACACACCTTCGTCCCGCTGTGCCACAGTGGCCTCTGCCTTCCTGCGGGGACCCGGTCGGCAGCTGGCTCTCAATGGCTCTGGCACGGTGGCAAGGTGCCCCTCAGAGCGCCTGCCACCCGGGTTCGCTGGCCTGGACCACACATGCCCCAGGGGCTTCTGTGTGTTCTGTCTCCTGCCCCCCCCACCGTCTGAGGAGGCCTCTGTGCCTGGGGCATGGGCCCGGTGACAGCCCTCCTAACGTCGGTGCGCCTCTCGCCTTGGCTTGCGGTGCCTTTTTGCTGTGCAGAACACCTCCCTGAGTTACCTCCTTCTCTCTCCTCCACTCTTTGGGGTGACCTGTAGAGACGGTCCTTGTGTACTGTTACTGACTGCTTCTGCTCATCCAGTGGCCTGTCCCCGGGTTCGCTTGGCCAGTGTGGGAGAGGCTGATCATTGGCCAAGGTAAGACTGGTCCCAGGCCACAGCTCAGCCCAGCCCACCCGCCCTACAGGAGATCGTCAACTTCAACTGCCGCAAGCTGGTGGCCTCCATGCCGCTCTTCGCCAATGCTGACCCTAACTTTGTGACAGCCATGCTGACCAAGCTCAAGTTCGAGGTCTTCCAGCCGGGAGACTACATCATCCGTGAGGGGACTGTGGGCAAGAAGATGTACTTCATCCAGCATGGTGTGGTCAGCGTGCTCACCAAGGGCAACAAGGAGATGAAGCTGTCTGATGGCTCCTACTTCGGGGGTGAGCTTGGGGCCCGACAGGGCAGGCAGGGTGGCCCCACCAAGGGCAGTGGGCAGGCTGTCCAGCGGCTGAGGGCCTGTTGCCTGCACAGAGATCTGCCTGCTTACACGGGGCCGGCGCACGGCCAGCGTGCGGGCCGACACCTACTGCCGCCTCTATTCGCTGAGTGTGGACAACTTCAATGAGGTGCTGGAGGAGTACCCCATGATGCGGCGTGCCTTTGAGACAGTGGCCATCGACCGCCTGGACCGCATCGGTGAGCTGGCCGGGTGGGGCGGGGAGGGGCATGGTCTGGTGGCTCAGATCCTTGGGACCCCACCATGCTGACCCACCCTGCCTGGCAAGGAAGAGAAGGGGTGCTTCCTGTGGTGTGCAGTTCAGCTGCTCGGCGTTCAAGTGCCTATAGTGTGTGCCAGGGCATGGGTGGACCCGGAGGCCGCCTGAGGCCAATTACACAAGCCCCGCAGTGTGACACTGAGGAGGGGATGTGGGGGCATCCCCGAGGAGCCATGCTGTGTCCAGGGTGGAGGCATGGTCAGGCCAGAAGGGGAAAGGTATGTTCCTGCAGCGGATGTGGCCGGTACAGAGACCCCGAGTGGGAAGGAGGCCTGACATTTTCTGTATCCAAAAAGTGTGTCTGGTGCTTAATACAGAGCCTGTACACAGCAAGTGCTCAAAATCTGCTTCCTGTAGGCCAGAAGTGCTTCATGTAGACTGTATGCACTGGACCTTCAATATCTGTTTGCTTTACACGGTAGTTGCTCAGACTGTACAAGGCCCTGGTGCTCAATAGCCAACCACTTGGATACAGCAGGCACTCCATATCTACTTGTGTAGAGTAGGCACCCTATGTGTGTTTGCTGCACACAGTAGGTGCCCCAAGTATACTTACTGCACACTTCTGGTACTCCGAGGATGCTCAATATGCACCGCAGGCACACCCATGTTTGCTGAATTTAGGAGGCACCTGGCTCGTGCCAGACATACATAGCAAGATCACAACACAGTAGGCGCTTTGCACCGTGGGCTGTCCAGAGCGGTGGGTCCTGCCGGACCCTGCAGCGCTGATGCCTGGCTCCCCACAGGAAAGAAGAACTCGATCCTGCTGCACAAGGTACAGCACGACCTCAGCTCGGGCGTGTTCAACAACCAGGAGAACGCCATCATCCAGGAGATTGTCAAGTACGACCGCGAGATGGTGCAGCAGGCAGAGCTGGGCCAGCGCGTTGGCCTCTTCCCGCCGCCTCCGCCGCCGCAGGTCACCTCTGCCATCGCCACACTGCAGCAGGCGGTGGCCATGAGCTTCTGCCCGCAAGTGGCACGCCCACTTGTGGGGCCCTTGGCTCTCGGCTCACCGCGCCTCTTGCGCCGCGGTCCCCCGGCACCGGTGCCTACCGCAGCTGTCCCTGGAGCCTCACCGGGGCCCGCCCCTGCCGCCAGCCCCCCTGGCGCACCTGCCAGCCCGCGGGCGCTGCGGACCTCACCCTACAGCGGAGCTCCCAGCTCCCCTGCTGCCCCCCGGGCCGGGGCTGTGTTGCCTGCACGCCGCCTGAGCCGCGCGTCACGCCCACTGTCGGCCTCACAGCCCTCCTTGCCCCACGGAGCACCTGGCCCCGGACCCACGACCTCAGTGCGCCCAGCCAGCAGCTCCACGCCAAGGCTAGGGCCAGCACCCACCCCCCGGGCCGCGGGGCCCAGCCCAGACCGCAGGGACTCAGCCTCGCCCAGCGGCCTCCCGCTGGACTCTGCGCGCTCACGCCTCTCATCCAATTTGTGACCCTAGCGCACTGCCCTGCGGGCCAGACGGGCCAGGCAGGGCCGTCATTCAGACCAAAGCCATGCCATTCCCGTTGCCCAGCCGCCCACCCGCGCAGAAGCCATAGAGGGACGTAGGTAGGCTAGTCCGACGGGTGGCGGGCAGCACGCGGCCCCTCCAGCCCCGCTGCCCCCTCATCACCCTGCGCCCACCCCCATCGCCCCTACCCTTGGTGGTGGCCGCGAGGGGCTCCCTTCACCTCGGTGCCTCAGTTCCCCCAACTGTAAAACGGGGACGGGGCCGGCCACTGGCCGCAAAGATGATGTGGAGCCCCACTGGCCCTGCCCTCCCAGGTGGCCGCGTCTGAGGAGTGTTTTTAAGTGCAATACTTGGCCTTCAGCTTCCTGCTGCCCCCATCGCGCTCATGCAATAACTGGCCTGCTCCTGTCCATGTGCATCAGAGGTGACCTCTGGGAGTGGGCCCAGTGTCCCCCCCCCAGCACCTGGCACCAGGGGCAGGCGTCCTGGCTGCACTGGGCGTGGGGCCAAGGCTGGGGTCCCCGCCGTGCGATGAATGTACCGACGAGCCGAGGAGCAGCGCCCACTACGCCCCCGCGCCCCATTAACCCCACTCCCCATTCCGCGCAATAAACAACAGCATTGGCGCCCAGCACTGTGTCTGGTTGCTTGGCGGTGCACTGGTCCCCAGATGGTCCCATGGGTGGTGACAAGCTTTATTTACACTGTAGACAGGTGCCGGAACGGCAGGGTGGGCCTGCGTCAGCTGAAGAAGTAGGTGGAGTGCTTCACCTGCTCCAGGTCGAAGGCCCCTGCAGAGGGAGGGGAATGAGGCCCTGGCGGGGCAG